CCCGAGTGGGTACTCTGTCTGGGTGTAGAGCATGAGCCGCCTTCCCAGCAATCGTCGCGGTGGTGAGGGACGTCACCAGCCGAGCCTCTTGCAAAGGGTCTGATTCAGAATCACCCCGCACGCGCGAGAGTGTCCTGACAGTCTCCGCCCACGTTGCCCCCATGTCCCTCGACTCGAACACCTTGTGGCCAAACGTACAATCGGCAATCATGAGCAGCTGCCCCGCCTCCCACTCGGCGAGGAGGGACGAAGTGCAGTCCGTAGGGAGCATCCCCTGCGCGAGCGCCCAGTGTTGGCCCCCGTCCGTCGAGTAGATGATCGTGGAGACAAGGGAGGACGTCTCCCCTCCCTTATTTGCCACCACAGGAAACACAAGCGCGCCATTCGCCATCACAACGCCTGAGCCACCAGCAGAAAAAAACCCATCCACACCGATCGCTTGAGCGGATTGGGCGATCTGTGGCAGCAGCTGTTGGGGCTGGCCCCATTGGATCTGTTTGTCTTGCGTGGCCTCACCCACCAGCAACTCAAGGCTCCAGTTACCTTCCTTCAAATGTGAATCACTACCGTCGTCGATCATGTCGTAGCTTCCCACAAGAAGAAAGACTTTGTTGTCCTTTGCAACTGCGGTGGGGTAGAACGCACGGCCCACACGGTTCGCTTGGCGTTCCCTGCTGAAGACGGTGTGAGCCTCCCACCTGCCTGCGTTGATCTCGGCGACAAGAGACGCCCAGCCCGCCGCAGCGTTAATGTACCCCGCCACAATATCAGAATAAGTGTACCCCAACAATTGACTATTGGGGCCTGTGTAGTTGATGTGACCCTCGGCAAGAGCAACCAAGACGCCGCCAGCACTGGCGAGCGAAGGCGAGGCAAAAGAATCCATCGATCGTTTTCCATTACCCTTTTGCACCTGCGTCTTCTTTGGCGCGAAAAGCTCAACGCTCTGCGGCAGTTTCACTTGATTTGGTTTCTCCCCCTCAGCGTGCACAGCCCCACAGCCGCAGCAGCATATCAGCAGAACGAGGAGCAACAGCACCGCGGCGGAAAACAGACGCCGCGGCATGTTGGGCCTCTCTCTCTTCATTCCCTCCTTGCGGTGGGTCCGCTCCGGCCGCGACGGTTGTGTGTGTGTGTGTTGCTGGCGGTTGCGGCAGCTGCAGAGCCCTCAAGGCGCACGGTAGCGGCAGCAAGCTGCGTTTGGCCTCTCTTTTGCTTCGGCGTGCGGGGGGGCGAAAGGAGAGAGGCGGAGAGGAGCAGTGGCCTGCGGAGAGGCGCTCGCTCACGCCCAGCCGGAGACTCACGCCGCAAATGTCTGCGTCCACCTCGCGGAGGAAACAAAACAAAAAGAAATACAGAGAGGAAGACGCAAGTGCCCGGCCGCAGCGCCGAACGCGTGGGCCGCACGACCGCACACTCGCCGCCCCCAAGAAACACACGCACACGCCCGCAGAGCGCAGAAATAAAACAAACAGAAACAAAAACCACAAGCACAAGTCACGCGCCGCCTTTTAGCCCCTCTGGCGGCGACACGCAGCGCACGTGCCCGCAGGACCTTGCCGTCGCAGGCCCCACCGCAACTCGCCCAGCGCCGGCCCTACTTCCCTCAGCACAGTGCAGCAGGAGGGCGGCGCGGCGTAAAAAAAGCAAAAAAAACAAAAACAAAAAAAACAAATCGAAAAAACCAAAACGAAGCAGCGCAGTGGCACCACCGCCGCCGCCGCCCCAAACGCAACCGCCCGCTCCCCAGCCGCGCCGCGGTGCTCGTGGAAGTGAGGCGCCACAAGAGAGGCAAAGGGAAAACATGAAGCCGCTGCACTCACTACACACAGCAATTGCGTCTTCGTGCGGCATCGCCACGTGGTGCTGGTGCACCTCGTTGCCCCAAAAGGTCCTGTGCCTCTCATCCCCCGCACTGGCCCTGTCGCCCGCGTTCCCGCAGTCCTGACACGCGTGTACCGTCACGCTATCCGCACGCTGCACGTAAATAATCTCCCACGACAAACCCCGGGCAAACCCTTCCCAGCCGTTAAAAAACCCCGCCAGCTGCTCGTTGAACTGCCTCGCCGTGCCGGTTGCAACGCGGCGCGCCTTCGCCGTGCTTGTCTGCAGCCCAACCATCGTCCTCCGCGGCGCCCCAACGAGAAAAAGGCGTCCACGA